CAACATTGGCTACCAGAAATCACTTACTCTGCCTTTAATGACAGCATTTTCATTTTTGGGTGAACTAACCTTTTAAGGTTGTTTAGCTTTACTTTGAGGGTTAACTCACAAACTCCCGTGCAAAATGAAATTCATTTGAAAGCCATTCACAGCAAACAAATAGAAATTTACACTTAAATATCTTTAGCTTGATCACCCAGCACTACAGCACATATGTCCTCCCTATTCATGTCCAGCGAGGCACATTCAGCCTGTGGTTTTTGCAATAGGGAGTTTTCCTTTGAGCACCAGCTACCAAATCAAGGCCAACTGCACAAAGCAAAGACCTGTTAAAGTGCTCATACAATTAATTAGTTCATCTGTTGTAACACATGCATGCAGTCTTACCTGTGTGGATGTACGGGTGGTGATGAGGACCGTTCAGCTTTCTTCCCCTCTTTAGACTTTTTGTTCTGGGGCTCACCAGAACCTCCAGCCTCCTGTTCCTCTCTGGCTCTCTTTACAGGAGCTAAGAGTGAAGGGATAAAATTATTATCATTACATACCCTATTATTAACAAATAGAAGAAAAAAAAACACATAAAACTGCAATGCTTACCAATCGTAGGAGCCAAAACGGTTTCCCTGACAAAGGGCCGATTGACAATATGCTTAGACTTGGCGGCGAAATTAAGGGCTGAGAAGGTGTCAAAGTAGTATCTGTACTCCGGTGCTATGTTTGTGATCATGACGGAATGGGCCGAACCACCCAGAGAGTCCTGCAGCAGACGGGTCAGTTTACTGTCTCTGTAGGGCACGCGGCCCCCGGCCCCTGCGTTCAGAGCATCCACCACTTTACTGAGGGTGAAGAGGGACAGGTTGATGGCCCCGCTCTCTTTCAGACGGATGCCCTGGTTTCCTGTGCGCCGGTTGTCTTCTGAACCTGCCAGGTCAACTAAATACAGCTTGCCTGTTTGTTGTCTGTGTGGCGGCCCACGCTGAGACTTCACTACCTGAGAGCAAACATATGCATTTATGTGATTATTAGTCTTTTGCAGAGAGCCAGTCACTTTATAGGGCCCAATGAAATTAGTTTTATTTTTTCACAAAATCCTTCTAAATATTTCTGGATTGTTGTAATGCTTAATTACAATTTTTATAAAAGTGGCCAATAAAATGTGTTTTTAAAATTTGAACATTTCCTTTCATTTTTTGGAAACAAAGAGCTGCTTTTTAAACAAAGTTTAAATTAAAACATGGTAAACAAATTAAGCATTCCTTAAAAAAA